GACCCTCAGAGTTATACAAAAGTACATACAAGAGGAAGTGAGGGGAAAGGGAAAAATAATACAAGGGGGACAAATGAATGTCAGTAGAGGGGGCAGAGAGAGAAGAGGGGAGGGGAGGGGAGGGGAGGGGGGATAGTAGAGGATAGGAAAGGCAGCAGAACACAACAGACACTAGTATGGCAATATGTAAATCAATGGATGTGTAACTGATGTGATTCTGCAATCTGTATATGGGGTAAAAATGGGAGCTCATAACCCACTTGAATCAAAGTGTGAAATATGATATATCAAGAACTATGTAATGTTTTGAACAGCCAACAATAAAAAAATTAAAAAAAGACTACAAAGGGCCAAAAATAATATGAAACAAAAACAAAAACAAACAAACAAAACCCAAGGTGAACTTCTCTAGCCAGCCGGGAAAAGCCACCGAGGAACCCAGCTTAATTCCACCTTAAGATCAGGAGCATCTCATCACAAAGTCATAAAAGTGAATCTCTGCTTTACTATAAATTACTGGAAATCCTTAACTGTTTGGAATTCCTGCCTGTGCCTTGAACTCCCCGCTGCCTGGCTTTACCTGAGCACAAAACAACCCTCTCTAAAACCTCATGGGCGCCTCATAAATCCTGATGTTGGGATCTGAATTTGCTCCCTACCTTGAAATATCATGCCATGTACATCATTAACCTGCTCTATGCCTGTGTATTGTGCTTGTCAAATTCTGTTAGCTGTAAGTTCTCCAGACACCCCGCTTTGCAACTTTCTGTGCTGTAAAACCTTGTTCCTGGAGGGCTGGGGGCTGCTCTCTGGCCTGGATTGGGACAGACAGCCGCTGATCAGCTCTTCTTTGTCTACACAATACAAGCTTGTCTTAATTTGATTTAAAATTGCAGTCAGAGGTCTTTTCTTTGCTTCGGGATTCAACACAACTCTACTATGGTTCCATTTCACCCAGTCAGGAATGCTTTCTATTAAAAAACAAACAAACAAACAAACAAACAAAAACCTGCATCTGGTTTTCATTTAGGATGTCTCCATTGCTATATCTTCAATGCAAGTCCACCACTCTCTACTACTTCAGTGTTTAACACCTGGTTTATATCTTTACTTTTTGGCAGTTTTTGTGTCTAGAAGTTCCATTTAGTACCTGCCCCCCCCCCCCCACACACACACACTTATCTCTACTTATTTGCTAAACTTTTTGAAAATACAGAATGCAGTTATGGTGAATGGTGTTAGTGCTGGGATTGACCCCGGGGCCTCACATGTGCAAGGCATGTGCTCCACCACTGAGCCACCCCCTCAGCCCCTACAAGGACTGTTTTAATGTCTTTCTCTACCAATTCTAACATCCCTGTACATGGCCTGGGCACCACACACCAAGCCAAGGAACCCCAGGACCTCAGCAAATGCCAGGTCCCTGTGGTGGGCCCAGGAGTGTGAGATCAACCCCAGGTGTTCTGTGGACGGGTGCTGTGGTTCCTCCCCCTGCCTGTCTGGTAATGGTGGATGGGAGGCCAGACAGTGTTCCCTTACTCTGTAGGTGCAGGATGTGTTTGTATTCCTGTCAGTGCTCTGAAGGTTTGTTCTAGAACTCGGACAAGAGCCTGGGAAGCAGTTTGATCCTTTAGGTATTATTGCAATAAGCCAAACTAGAGCTGCATTTACCTAGAGGTGCCTAGTCCTCCCCACTGCAGCAGGCCCCTCTGCACTCTGTGCCTACAACAGTGCCCTGTGCCACCCTCCAGGGCACCCTGGAAAGACAATCAGCAGACCGTTGTGCAGGAATCTTGCAGGGAGGAAAGACTGGGATGCTTTATTCAAAGTGCTACAGAAATACAAAGCCAAACAAGACTTTCCTTCAGGAGTGAAGGGGAGAGGGGAATTCCAGAGAAATAACTGTGGAGGGACCTTATCCCCACTCTATCTGCCTTTCAAGAAATGTTGAGTGGAGGTCTCCAGGTTAAATATTGCACAAAAAGAATGAAAGTACAAACTCACAGTAAAGCAAAATGTAGAGAAGCTCCGAAGTCTGGTTTCATGATGGTGATGGACATTTAACCTCTAGCATAAAGCTTAAAGGCAGGAGTATGTTAAAAATCTATAGTTAGAATAATTCCCTCTTGTAGCCAGAGGAAGAGGGGTACCAGGAACACCAGAACAATCACAGGAGAATTAACAAAGTGGACATACTAAGTCCTCACCTATAATAATTAACAAAGTGGACATACTAAGTCCTCACCTATCATAATTACAGTGAATGTGAATGAATTACATCTCTGATCAACACACACAGGGAGACTGCAGAGATCTTGAAATAATGAGCAACTCCATGCAGCCAATCAGAGACGCCCTGTAGCTCCCAGGACCCACATGGGCAGAGAGTGATGGGACAGAGGGATTCCATGCAAATTGAAGCCCAAAGTGAGAA